GAATTCTACAAGAAATTTACAGAAGATGTAGTCCCTATACTCCTCAAACTCTTCAATGAAATTGAAAAGGAAGCAATTCTCCCAAAACCATTCCTGGAGATGAGTATTATGCTAATAACAGAACCATTGAAAGACGCAACTAAGAAAGAGAACTACAGACCAATCTCCCTCATGAACATAGATGCCAAAATCCTCAATAAAATCCTAGCAAATAGAATACAGCAAATCAGTAAGATCATACACCATGACCAGGTAGGTTTCATCCCAGGGATGCAAGGATGGTTCAATATTCAAAAATCTATAAATGTAATACACTATATCAATAGATTAAAAGCTAAAAACCACATGATCATCTCCCTTGTAGCAGAAAAAGCTTCTGACAAAGTCCAACACTCATTCATGTTCAAAGTCCTACAGAAAGTTGGAATAGATGGCCTCTATTTCAATCCAGTAAAAGCCATTTATAAAAACCCAATGGCTAACATAATTCTGAATGGGGAAAAAATGAAATCTTTTACTCTTAGATCTGGTACAAGACAAGGATGTCCTCTATCACCACTCCTATTCAATATAGTTCTAGAATCATTAACTACAGTCATGAGACAAGAAAAAGAAATAAAAGGAATAAGAATAGGTAAACAAGAAGTTAAATTATCATTATTTGCAGATGACATGATAGTTTACATGGAAGACCCAAAAAACTCCACCAAGAAGCTATTAGAATTAATACAGAAATTCAGTAGCATAGCAGGATACAAAGTCAATGCCCAAAAATCAACAGCATTCCTCTACACAGATAACAAACACACTGAGAGGAAAATTAGAGAAACAATACTCTTTATAATAGCACCAAGGAAAATGAAATACCTTGGAATTAATCTAACTAAAGAAGTCACAGATCTTTTCAAGGAAAATTACAGTACTCTTAAAAAAGAGATTGTAGAGGATTTCAGAAAATGGAAAGATATTTCATGCTCTTGGATAAGAAGAACCAACATTGTGAAGATGGCCATACTCCCAAAATTGCTGTATAGAATAAATGCAATCCCTATCAAACTACCACCAACACAACTCACAGACCTACCAAAATCATTCCTAAAGTTTATTTGGAACCAGAAAAGACCTAGAATAGCAAAGGCAATCCTGGGCAATAAAGACAAGTCAAGAGGCATTACAATTCCTGACTTGAAATTATACTACAAGGCTACTGTGATAAAATCAGCATGGTACTGGAAACAAAATAGACCTGAGGATCAATGGAATAGATTAGAAGATGCTGAAGCCCATAAGAACACACTCAGCCACCTTATCTTTGAGAAAGGGGCCAAACATACTCACTGGAAGAAAGACAGCCTCTTTATCAAATGGTGCTAGAAAAACTGGCTCTCTACACGCCAAAAACTAAAACTTGACCCAGATCTATCACCATGCACTAAGCTAAAATCAAAATGGATTAAAGATCTAAATATTAAAACAGAAAAACTAAATCTCCTGGAAGAGAAAGTAGGAGGAACTCTTGAAGACATTGGGTTAGGCAAAGAGTTTATGAACAAAAATCAAAATGCATGGGAAACACTTCAAATAATTAACAACTGGGACCTGCTCTTATTGAGAAGCTTTTGCACATCAAAAGAAATTACCAACAAAGTGAAAAGACAACCCACAAATTTGGAAAAAATCATGACAGATAAGTACTCAGACAAAGGTCTGCTCACTAGAATTTATAAATTCTATTGTATTTTTTACTATTTTTATTCTCTTTAAAAGTAAAAACTTAATATGGCTGGGGAAATGGCTCAGTAGAATAACTGCTTGCCTCGCAAGTGCAAGG